GATTTATGTCCTTTTATACTATAAAGTCTAGATGTCGAAAGTTATTTTAACTCACATTTACATCACAACATACTGTGACTTATTAACCAAAAAAACTCTATATAATATATATATATATATGATAGTGTAAACGATTAACGCGACTAATTAATGAAAGCAATACACAAGTCACCTTTTTATTAAATAAAAAAAAAATGTATAATTCTTGTATGACCTTGATAATTTATTATTATAGGGAAAATACAGGTTTATGTATTTTCAGAGATAAATTTGTTTATCTCTCATGACCCTTTCATAAAAAATTAATAATTTTCATTAAATATAGGCTCCACATCTGATGATGAATTTAAGATTGAATAAAATGTTGAATTATATATGAAAATATCATGTGATGAAATTTTTTTTTTGTTTATCTCTTAGATAAATTACTTGAGGCAAACTCTAAAAGCAACACAAAAAAATCATTTAAACATCTACTACTAATACTCGTATTATAGCTATCAAATTTTATAGGAAAAAAAAATAAAAAATTGATTAGCTTCTGGATTCATAGCTTTGGAAAGGCATGCAAAAATTAAAAAAACCCATTATTGAGTTCCGCGTTCTTTAGCGTACTTGCTTCTTGAAAGGAGATAAATCGAAAAGTATGACCTAAATATTTTGAAAGAGAAGTTATTTATATATTAACATTATTTTGTGCTGATTTTTTAGCCCCTTAAACGTGTACTAAACGTAGATAAAACATATAATCTTCTTAATTACCTTTTTTTACTATAGAAAATTGGTTATCATATATAATTTCCATTTTTTAAAATGATTTTCTAGAGATCTCCATGGAAACAAAAAATGTAAGTATGTAAAGATTTTTTTTTATTTTTTATTTTATTTTAGGCAAAGTAATTATAGTAAGATTGTGGATATGTGTATATGAAAAAGAAAAAGAAAAAAAAACATTTAAAATGTGATCACTTGACTAATATATACTCCATACTTCTATTTATACTCACTTAAAATGTTACTCCCTCCGTTTCATAATGTTAGTCCTATATACTATTTTGGGCGTTTTAAAAAGACCTATCCATATTGAATATGTTTCATTTTTAACTTAATTAATTTGGAATTAGTTGGTTGTACATTGATGGCATGACTCTAAGTAAGAGAATCTCTACCTAAAATTATGCATTATGACTTAAGCTTTCCAAAAAAAAAAAAATCAAAAAAAAAAAAAAAATCAAAAAACTTAAATAAGGTGAACTAATTATGAATTATTTTATACTTTAATGTTAGATTTCAAATCTTCTTGTTTTCTTATTTTATGTGATTGATTTCATATGGGACTAACATTATGAAACAGAGGGAGTACCAAATTACTGCAAGATATATATATATTTTTTTTCATATTGTCCTTCACCCAAAATGATTAAAAAAACAACTTTAGGGGTTACTTATTTAGGGGTTACTTGTATGGGTTACTTATTCAGGGGTTATTTGCTTATTCAGGGGTTATTTGTAGGGGTTACTTATTCAAGAGTTATTTGTAGGGTTTACTTATTCAGAGGTTACTTGTAGGGGTTACTTACTCAGTCGGTTAGCATGTTCTTTATGTGAGAGTAGCCCCTGACCGACCGAGTAACCTTTGTATAATTAACCCCTATAAATTACCCCTGACCAAACGAGTAATCCCTGACCAAAAGAGTAACCCCTGACCAAACAAGTAACCCTTGAACAAGTAACCCCTATAATTTACCCCTGACCAAATGAGTAACTCCTGAATAAGGGTGTGTTCTATTCACCTGATTTTCACTTATCTGAACTTAACTGAACTTAATTGAACTTATCTAAACTTAACTTAACTTATCTGAACTTATTAAAACTATTTTAGTTGTAATTTGAACTTGGATAGCCTTTATCGAAACTTATTTTTCCTCAACTGAACTCATCTGAACTTATTTTTCCTGAACTGAACTTATTAGATCTGAAATAAGTGAAAATAAGGTGAATTGAACAGACCCTAAGTAACCCCAGAATAAGTAACTCCTAACCAAATGAATAATCCCCACATAAGTAACTCCGGCCACACGGTGTGACCAGACACATACAAAAAATTGTGTTAAACAAATAAAGTACTTGCCAAACGTATCCAGTTTTGTACTTATATATGAAAGATTCATAATTGATTGTATTCATAAAAGGTTAGAATATCTTAAATTAAATATATTTCATGTAATCATAGTATTAATATCTTTAAATCAATTTTAATGTCAAATTTGTTTAGATGAAAAAAATTAAAAAAATTACACCTATATTTGGAAAGATTATTTGAAATCAAAATTAATATCTTGGCAAATATATGAAATTTATAGTAACAACTTGAATTGATCCAATTTCCTCCATTTCTCTCTGACTTTTTAATGATATACTCCAAATTGCTTAATAAAATTAAATGACTTTTCGAAATAAAGAAATCTTAAAAGTGCATGTGGCACCTAAATTAAAATGAGATCTGGAAGACAAAGAAAGATGACCGACAAATCAAACAATGGCGTTTTGTTCGTGTTCACGTTATATGTTCAGACTTGGACTTCACCGACACACTACTAATTGCACTTTTATTCGCATCATAGGTTCGAATTCTTCGCTTGTTTGTAATTTGTAATGTCCTAATAATTTTATTTTTTATTTTACTAAAAGTTTGAGTAAAATTTGAGGTATATTATTTTGACTAAAATTTGAACATATGGTAATACTATAGATTACTAGATTTATCCACGTACTAACCTGCTAACTCGAGCCGGAAGAGCGTATAAGAGGTTCCGGTCTGATAGGATCTTTCTCCTTACCAACCAAAAAAAAGTAAAAAAACGTCTTTTATACCAAGAAGCATCAAAAGTGATTTTTTTTCCCTAAATTGTCAACTTTATTTTTTCAAGTAGTACCTTTTTTATTTTATTTTTCATTTTTTTTTTAAAAGTAGTACTTGATCTAGTGGTAAAATTGTCATCTCACTACACCCCTAATCTCATGAATCCTTGCCCATGCATCCGGGGATAGTTAGCATGTGAGATATTCCGGTCCAATAGTGCACCTTCACGGCTTCACCTTACCTACTAAAGCAAATAAAAACATATGAATTTGTACCATTATTGATGAGAAGAGAAATAGAAAGAGCAAAAAAAAAAAAAAAAAAAAAAAAAAAAAAAAAAAACTATCTTTAAAAAATAGAGGTGATCATGTTTAACTTAACCTGCCGACCTAGTTAAAAATTGCTTAGGTTTGGGCAAAAATTTTTGGCCCGAAGCCCAGGCCAACTTGAATTTTATATTTTTACTAGTTTAAGTTTTGTGCCATGCACGGTTTTACTAAATTTTGTAGTGAATTATACTGCAGCAATTATGTACAAAAAAATATCATCACAAAGTATATTTTTTAAAGGAAATAAAATAGCTAGAATTTCAATTTATACTCATTCCAAAGATATCAAGATTATTGATGCAAAAGACTTAACAAATCAAATAAAATGAAAGAAATTTGTGGACTATGAGGTTTTATACTACTCCTTATAAAAAAATGTAAATTTTAGATTAGTACCCGTTTAATACACACATACATGGATATACCCTTCGTCCCTAATTTGTTAACATACTTGTTCGACACAATGTTTTATGCAAATTTATTTGATTTTATTTTACTTTGTGATAATTATTAACCATTTTTTTTATTAGATAATATATGAATAGTATATATAAATTTTTATTTATATAATAACATTTGTTTATTTTTTTATAGGTTATTATTGCAAATTACACATTATTATACTGAAGCAGAGAAGGAATAATTGTATTCCGAACAAATTATATATTATTTTTTATTGATTAGTTATAGAATTTGTTATATACACCCGGGGTCATTTGCTCATTTAATCAATAAATGAGCAAATAATATTTTTACTCATTTGTTGGTTGAATGAGCAAATGACCTCGGGTGTAGATAATAGGTTGTCGATTAGTTAAGATTGAGTACGTATAGTATTATCATAATTTTCTTAGTTGAAAATATTTTTGCACAAAATTTTGACACATTATAATATTATTAATATGAAGAGTAGAAAATTAAAGAATATACAGTTATATGTGTTATTAAAATATTTTCTTCTCTAATTAAAATAGACTTTATTGCCAAAAATTATAAAATTGGAGGAAAAAAAAATAGAATGATCATACATAGTCCTTGGCTAAAATACTATTCTAATTATATAATATTATTAATACACTAGTTATACAAACAATTGAACATAATTATCAAATTAAAAAAGTACAAAGTACAAACTAGCAATCCGGGGCATCGCCTGGGACACACACTAGTTAAAAATTAAATTTAGATTGCCTAAAATCAAATCTATATCTATCTATAACTATATAATAAAGGCGAATCAGGAATGACACGTGTCATCTCCTGATTAAATTTTGTCCCTCCTTTTTTACCTCATACGTATTTATTTTCTAATCTTGTGAAGAATAAATAAATTAAGTAACCTCTAATTTGAAAGCAATATATATATAATGTTAATTATGTGAAATTTAAAACACTAATATAAGTTGGTTGACATGGTAAGTGTATAACCTTTATTTGTTGGAGTTCACGTGTCGCATGTACTTTAAATAGTAACGTGACATTGTGACATGGTATCATATATGTTGAAGAGTGCCACGTGGCACTGCACCGTTCCTTTAAAAGGAATGTCTTTTAATATATAGTATAGATAATATGGATTGACAAATGAATAACAAACTTATTGTCTTGACAACTTGGGCCTGACCTTAAATGAACTATCTTTATTTACCAAGGGCTAACATAGCCTAACTCGTGATCATCTTTATTTTTTAATTTTTTTTATAACAAGTGATCACCTCTATTTAAAAACATCTACTACTGTAGTATTTTAAGCATATCGGACAATCTTTCTAGAAATTAGAGAAACTACGTTGTAAATTACAACAATTTACACATAAAATAAAAAGAAGTCGAAAATAAAGAAAGAAATATGCCAGCTTTAACTAAGCTGGTATGAAGTCGCATTCATTTCTGAGTTCCAGCGGTTACATTAGATGCTTCCACTTCACTACTTCACCTTCCACACCTTTTTTATCTGTCTTAATTCTTAAGTACCACCTACTCTTAGCTCTCATATAAACTAAATTATACCACATTTCTTCACTTTTATCAACTACAAAAATTAATTTTAGAGAGAAAAAAAATTAAACCCAGATCTTTGTAAACTTGCTGAAAATTATGGCTTCTAAGCTTGTTATAATTGCCATTATTGTTCTTGATGTCATTGCTTTTGGTCTTGCTGTTGCTGCTGAACAAAGACGAAGCACTGTAAGTTTACTCCCTTTTTTTTTTTTTTTTTTTTTTTTTGTATGTGCTTGTTTAGTTGATACTTTTTTTAGGGACGGAATTGGTAGTCAAGTTGATAGTGTAAATTAAAATCTTAATGTGATGACTAAATTTGGATGCAACGAGTGGAGTTTAGCTGATAGGTTGTTTGATTTGAAGGATGATTGTGTTTATTTTGATCGGTTTATTAGATTTTTATGATTAATTCTGCTTGATCTGACAGAATTAGTCAATGTTGCGCATTTTATTTATTTATTTATTCTGTTCTCATAAAACAGAGCAAATTCATAGCCTTTTAATTAAAAAAAAAATTAAATTTTTGTGATCAATTAATTTTTAATTCATTGATGTTTGTTGATCCAATGATATGTTGAATAATCATTGAGTTAAATTGTGGTATAATTTATGTTAATTATCTGGAAAAATCTTGACCTTGTGAGACTATTTTAGCGGTGGATCCATGTGGGTGTTGGTATTAGTCATATCTAATTGATTTTCCATATAATTGGAGCCTTTACTAGTTATATACCTATAAATTAAGTAATTTCTATATTTAAGCCGAATCTATCATAAATGGTTGTTGTTTTGCTGTTCAATTGCTATGAAGCTTGGATTTTTCAGCTTTGATGCTGTTTTTTAGTTATGAAATGATCTACTTTGCCTAATTGTAAGAGAAGTATCAAACTTGTCAATAAGGTCTTTGGCAGTTATGCTGAATTTAGGCTGTGTATGCATTTGTGTAACGGTTTGAACATGTGTTTCTTCGCTTCCTATGAAGGTAAAGAAAGGGTGTCAAATTTTACATGTTTGTAAAGAACTTTGAACTGAAGTAGCAACAAAAAAGATACAGCTAAAATCTTCGGATTCCGACTGCAGCTGATATTTGACAGTTCAGATTGGTTGTGTTAGTTATGTTTTCTTTGTAATGCTTTAATCCAAACAGAATAATGCCACTGGTTTGATGAGTTTAGATAGAAAGCAAGAACCATGAATTAGCTGATAGAATTGTCCGAAAATTACATTACCGACTTCTGAAGGACCAAGCTATTGATGACTGAGCATTTCCTTCATGATTTTTATTTTCGTTTATGAATCTCAGCGCTTTGTAAGACATGTAGCTGACAGACTTGTCTTTGAACAGGCCCATATTGTAACTGATCCGGACGCAGACTACAAGTACTGTCAGTATAATTCAGACATCGCCACAGGATATGGGATCGGTGCATTTTTCTGCCTTCTGGCTGGCCAAGCGATTGCCATGGCAGCAACCAAATGCTTCTGCTGTGGTCAGGCTCTCGGTCCAGGAGGATCAAGGGCTTGTGCTATCATGCTTTTCATCGTGTGCTGGTATGTCCTTTGTATTTCTGTTGTTTAACTTGTAATTGTAATTATCATAGATTTGAAGTCATAGAACTTCATATTTCCTGAATTATCATAGTAATTGACCAGAACCATTCAGTTTATCCTAAACCAAACTGAAAAAACCTTTTTATAATTCTTTTTATAAACTGCTGAATTCAAGGTTAGAAATCTATGTCCCAGCCCAAATACTTTCCAGAATCATTTTGAAGTCATAAGTGTCAAAATTCAATTTACAAGCATTTTCCTTTTTTTGGGAATTATATGTTTGCTGTCTGCACTTCATAATTCGGAACCTTTTGACTTTTCATCTTGCTAATTTTAAGAAATTCATTCTTGTCAGGTTGACATTCTTCATTGCGGAGATATGCTTATTGGCGGGTTCTGCAAGAAATGCCTACCATACAAAATACAGGTCCTTCTATGAAGACCGAGCCCCATCATGTGAAACTTTAAGAAAAGGAGTCTTTGCAGCCGGAGCTGCATTCACTTTCTTCACTGCCATCGTTTCTAATTTCTACTATGTTTTCTACTCAAAAGCTAAGGGCACCTTCAGACCATAAGGCACAGTACATATCATCAGTATAGTCCCTCAAATTCCAAGGAGAACACACTATGATGAATTGGGGTTTTCATTGATGTGCTCACAAGAACTATTTTTTGGCCATTAATCTTGATTTTAGAAACTCTTACAAGTAGCAGATGTCACGTATTCAATGTTTGTGTGTTGGTTGTGTATTTGTCCGATTGTTTTGTTAGATTTTTGCTGATTTGTGAGAGAGAAACATATAATAGATGGTTCCTGTCATTGTAATGTCCCGATTCTTTGGTTAGTGTGACTTGAATATGAATAATTGCTATAGTTTTTGGCGACATCAATGGCTTTCAGTGTTTATGATTTCAGTTTTTCAAACTCTTAACTTGTGAAATTTTACAGATAAGAGTGGTATCAGTTTTATGAACTCTGGCAAGTGAATTTTGATGAAGTGTGTAGCATTCAAATGTACAGAAAGCACCCTGACTTTACAATATGATCCCACCGGAATCAATCATCCATGGTTAGCGTCATTGTCATCCTAGAAGAAATAACCTGGCATCTCTGGGGAAGTCCCAAAGATTTTGTACCTTCCACCAGTCCGAGTCATACGGAGTTATAAACAAATAGTGTGCATGAAGAGACTAATAAATCGTTCTGAGAGTAGTATCATCTCTATTCTCTAGCATTGAACATTGAACATTGAACATTGAACATTGAACATTGAACATTCACAATGTCTCTTCTTGTATACATTATGTAAATCTGGTAGAAATCTCAGTATATTCTAAAGTCTTAATCCCTTAAATAAACTTTGGAAGTGTCAGAATAGTTGGTAATTTGGTATAATCTAGTGCTTGAGGATGAAGTGTTGGAATGTTGGAGACTTTGAACTACAATTATCTCCTCCAACCCCTCACATTTCGTCACTTGAAAATAAAGCTTCTGACTTTGCCAGTAGCTGTGATAGCACCGCTGCTGCTGCTGCTGCTGCTACTGTTGCCAAAGCATCCTGAACTAAATCACCAGTTTTAGTTTCGCACGCTCACCAATGGATAATGTAAGGAAGGGTAGTTAGGGACTGAAAATAACTAATACATAATGTGATGTACCCTTTAGTTCGGTCCACATGTAACCTGCAATCTACTTCATAATTTAACCAACACTAAATAATTATGAGTACATAAAAAATCAAAACCAGACAATCAAGTCAACAAAATGTTACATTTGATAAAGTTATATAATCTTACTCTTTCTTGAAGAAAAACTTTGGGTTATATATTTATCGTTGACTTTATTAATGGAGGAAAATAAAGCATGTGCATCAGTGCCAGAAAAACTTAAGCATGAATGAAAGTGTCAAAGCATTTTAACTCTGTAAGCATTCATAAAATATTCAAGCAGATGCCATTGCCAGCATTTATAAGCTGTTAAAACTCATATTTATCTTTTCTTGAGAGATAAACAGAAGGAGAAATTACATATCTGAAAAATTTGTTGGAAGCTGCAAAGTTAATTCCCAAATCATGGCTTCAAAGGTTATTATTATTTTGATTTTGATCCTGGATATCATCGCTTTTGGGCTTGCTGTCAATGCTGAAAAAAGACGGAGTACTGTAAGTTCACCTCTCTATATCTCATAGTTGAAGTTTAATTTTTGACCTGTTTGTGTTGGATGTTACTGTCTCCGTTTTCGTGCAACATAGATTAGAACTTCTCCGATGCAATTATGGTTGTGTCAATGGCGATTGTACATAATTTGATTTGATTTTATATTTACTGGGATCTGGTAGATTTTCCCAGTACTCTTGCAAAAACAGAGAAAAAACAGAACTTATAGTACTTAATTTGTTTCCTGATCTAGCAGTCTTCTAAGTAGTGCCATATTGATCTTCTGATCTGCTCAGTTTCGAGTATAAATTGTGTAAGATGCTAGTTTTCCCTACAAGATTAAGCTAATTAAGGCTAATTTGTTAGGCATTAAGCTACATACTTCTCAACCTTTCCTAACTCTTATACTTTACAACAGTTATTTCTCATAAAACTTCCAAAGATTAAGATTATTTCTCATAAAAGCAGTATAATATAGAGTTATCAAGGAAATGATATAAGTGATTGATTTTGATTGACAGGCCCAAATAGTTTCAGACCGAGACATGAACTATCAATACTGTCGGTATAATACAGACTCTGTTGCAACAGGCTATGGGTTAGGAGCATTTTTCTGTCTTTTGGCTAGCCAAATAATTCTTATGGCGGCTAGCCGTTGTTTGTGCTGTGGAAAGGGTCTAAGGCCGGGAGGATCAAGGGCTTGTGCCACGACTCTTTTCATCTTCTGCTGGTATAATTTTTTTTTTTTACCTGACTCATTACAGTAATAATTATAACTAAGCTATTTTAACAGATAATCAACAATATTTTTCTCCTTGAATAACTGAATCTCTTATATCAGGCTAACTTTCATCGTTGCTGAGGTCTGCTTATTGGCGGCTTCTGTAAGGAATGGATACCACACAAAATACAAGGTCTTCCTTGGAGAGAACCCACCATCATGTGAGGCTCTAAGGAAAGGAGTCTTTGCAGCTGGTGCTGCTTTCACCTTCTTCACTGCCATTTTCTCGGAATTTTACTACATTTCCTACTCAAAGGCGAGGGGCTGATCACCCTCATCGCCATCATAAACAGCGTGTTATGATGCCAGGGGAAAAAAACACAGTACAACCAAATGATTTTTCGGGGTTGTTACTGATCTGATCTCATAACTTTATTGATCTTACTAAAAATCTTGGTTGTAGGAATTATGTGCAGGAGTTATCTTGTATCTGCTATTTTTTTTTTTTTTTGGGTAAGCTAGATTCAATAGCGGCCTATTTATGTTATCATGTCTAGTGTTATAAGTTCTTTTGGTACTTAGTCTTTATTGGTAACAATTTTCTTTGTTGTGATGCTTTGACTGAAAAAAGTTTCGCAACTGCTGTTGCCCAAACCAAGCAGCTTTAGAAATTTTATTTTCCATAACATTATTCGTATGAAAAAGTTACATCAAGTGTCTAAACCAGAACTAAGTTCAAATTCAGACAATTCTGCTACTCATACTTTCTTTACAACTTTACCTTGAACGATAAGCCACAAAATAATTTATTTGGAACAACAAATCTCAAAGAGAATTCATCAGAGCAAAAGCTTCACTATGCTATAAAAATTAAGCAAAGTATATATGAGATTATGCTACACATTCAAGGAAAAATGACATAAACCAGAATCAGATTAAAATAGGGGCGGATCTAAGGTCAAAGTTATGAGGTCAATTGACCCTACTTAATTTTTATTTTAAATTTTTTTGTTAAAATATGATTTATTTAAAGATAATATAAAAATTATAAGTAATCTAACATATACTCCGTATCAATACACATAATTTTATATGTGTCAACAATGTGCAATATAATATATTTATAGTTTCACGTAATTTGTTAATTTATGAATTATTTTAACACCATTTTTAATGTTTGGTTATATAGCTCACAAATCATGAGAATTATTAATGTTTGGTTAACTTTACTCATGGCAATGGAATCGAAACAATACAGTTTCATGATCATTGCTGGTGTTTTTTTGTAAGTAAAACATCAAGGCAAAATTTTGAACCAAAATTACCTAACTTTAAGATTTTGCAGATGATTTGTATCTTCCAAATTCATAATGTATAAAAAAAGCAGAATTTGTATCTTCCAAATTCATAATGTATAACATAATTCATATGAAAAAGTTACATTAAGTGCTTAAACCAGTGGAGTCAGGTGAATAAAAAAGAAAATTAAGCTCAAATTCAGACAATTCTGTTATTCATACTTTTTTTTGTGAATCGCTAAACATCGCCCGCAAATTACCATATAAAGCCCACAAATATGACTTGGTGTGACAATTATGCCCTTTTTCTAAAATTGAACAAATCTCGATTTAAAAACTGTGGAGCCGTGCTAGGTTGCCGCGGGATTCCATTTTCTAAAATTGAACAAATCTCGATTTAAAAAAGTGGAGCCGTACTAACTCGCCGGGGGAGACCGGAGGGCAGGCCGGAGTTGTGGGGGACGCCGGAGGTACGTCGTCGTCGACGGAAAACGAGGTAAGTCACTGTTAAAATTCACGGTTTACCGTAGGGGTGGCTCCGGCGCCTAGGGTGGACGCCCTAACCGTAGCAAGGACGTCCAAGCTAGACGCCAGAACCACCGGACCGGCGTCCAGCCCAGACGCCCAAACCACCAGACTGGCGTCCTGGCCAAGCGCCAGTCTGCTGGCTGAGGCGGCCCTGCCAGGCGCCAGTCCAGTGGCTGTGGCGGCCCTGGCAGACGCCACCCCTATTTTTTTTTTTTTCCTTTTTTTTTTTCCTTCTTTGATTTTGTTGTTGGGCCTAAATTTTTTTTTTTAAAATTAGAAAATGAGTTTTTTAAAAATTTCGAAATGGCTTTTTTTAAAATTAATTTTGAAAATTCGAAATAGGTTTTTGTAAAATTAAGTTTGAAAATTCGAAATGGTATTTTTTTTAAATTTAGTTTGAAAATTCGAATTGGGTTTTTTTAAAAATTAAGTTTGATTGTTGAGAAAGGTTTTTTTTTAAAATTAAGTTTGACAATTCGAAATTGTATTAAAAAAAAAATTGGAAATGGTTTTTTTTTTTTTTTTTTTTTTTTTTTTTTGTTTTCAATTTATTTCAAATTGAAAATTCAAAACGGTGTTTTTTTTTTTTAAATTTGTTTAATTATTTAATGTGTTTATGTATGTAGTGAGTAGATTTGTGTTAATGTATACCAAAATATTTAATTGTTTATGTGACTTTTATAAATGAGTGTGTTTAAAAATTTGTATGTGTATGTGTATGAATAATATTATACATAATTATGTTTTTTTTTTGTGTTAATTCTGTGTAAATATAGAAATTAAATGTATTATGCGTTAAATGTATTTATTATAATATATAATTGATGCAGAATTATGGTGGAGACGGAAATGATTACAGTGGGATATTTGGACATGATGGTCCATTCGAAGAAGCTCAACAAGCGATTGATTGGGCAAAACAAGTTGCAATTGCAGCTGGATTTTTCTTGGTAGTAGTAACTCATAAATCTCAACGGGATGGTAGAATGGATCGCATTTTGAGATGTGACCGTTATCGCAAAAGAGAAGAAAGAGATTTTCGTACAGCCACTCGGTTTGATACAAAGCGGAAAGGCTGTGGGTGTGAGTTCAGAGTAAAGGTCCGACAACTACGGAGTCGTGACGGTTGGGAAGTGATTGGTTACTCTAAATGGGGGTATCACAACCATGAGATGATAGTATATGAAGAGGGTCATCGACAGCTGAGCGGCTTAAGTCCTGCTGCGAAACTGGTTGTGAAAGAAATGAGTGATGCTCAAGTCAAGCCTGCTAAAATATTAGCATCTGTGTTAGAGAAATTTCCAGAAGAGCATCCAAACCGAAGACACATCTACAACGTCAGACAGCAACTCAGGTTTGAACGGTCAGAGGGAAGGAACCCTATACAGCAGCTGCTACACCAGGCACAATCACGTGGTTACCTGTTCTGGTTTGATTCTGATGAAGATACAGCGGAGGTGACTCATCTTTTCCTTGTGCATCCTGATTGTGTTGATATGATCAAGTCTTGGCCATTTGTGATTTTGATCGACTCAACGTACAAGACAAACAAGTACAAGTTCCCACTGGTTGAGATCATGGGGATGACTCCAATGAACCAGAACTTTCTGATTGGTCATGCAATCATCAAGGATGAGACGGCTCCAAGTTATTATTGGGTCTTGGAGAAGCTGAGAAACTACATCGGGCCTAATGTTCATCCAGTAGCCATCGTCAGCGACTGTAAGGGAGGTCTCTTTGCCCCCATAGCAGAGCTGTTTCCAGAATCGAATCACTTATTGTGCACATGGCACATCAACAACTGCGTGAAAGTGAAAGCCTACAACCTTTTCAACAAGAATTTGGAAATGGCAGAGAGATTGGTGAATGGTAAGTGGCGGAAGATCCTACAGGCTACCACAGAGGAAGCGTACGAGCGAGAATTGGCTAACTTCAGGGATTCGTACCAGTGATGTCCGGCACTGGTGGACTATGTGATGCAGCAATGGTTCCCTCACAGAGAAAAGTTTGTCAAATATTGGACAAACCAGGTACTTCATTACGGGAACCCTACAACATGTAGAGTTGAGAGCGCTCATAGAGCTACCAAGGACTGGATTGATTCATCGACCGCTGCTTTGGATACACTGTTCGATAGACTTAACAAGTCAATTGAAACTCAGAAGAACGGCATCAGGAACTCTCTAGAGGACTCCAGACGACGACATGGAACGATGTATAGCCATTTCATATTTAAGATTCTCCATGGTCGTGTGTCGCACTACTGCTTGGGGTTGATTCTCACTGAGCTAAACAGGATGAGGGACTTGGCTGACGAAGTGTATGCTCGGTGCGGGTGTGCTATTTCAGCAACTCATGGATTACCTTGCGCATGCACCATTCACCGCGTTATTACAGAAGAAAGGGCGTCGTTACATGTTGATCAGGTTCATTCATTCTGGCGGACGCTCGTTATTGGTGAGCATGCAGATACTCGGGTGGCCGACCGTGAACAGGAGGAGTTGGATCAGTTTCGGGCGATGTACGACCGAGTGTCCTCCAGCCATCCTTCTATTATTCGTGACGCTAATCACGTACTTCATGACATGTTCCACACGTCTACCTTAGATTTTGAGGAACCCGAAGGAGTTGACCGTCCTCGAGGTCGGCAACGGCGGAACAGGAGTGCGTTTGAGTGTATCCGTGGTCTTGGTCGTGGTCGTGGTCGGACATTGTCATCTGGTCGTACTGAATCACTCTCGTATGTGAATATGCCCCTGAGGACTGGTACGTTTTGGTTTTTTACATTGCACATTGTTTATAAGGTTACTCCTGCCTTCTTAACTGTGTCTAATTATATGGTGAATAGGAAGAAACGATGTTGATCTGCCTGATCCGCTAGCAAATCTGCCTGATCCGCATCAGCCACAGCACAAAGTCGTTTACCCTCAACACGAATCCCCAGAATGGCCTCGACGTCATGTAACATGATCGTCATCTCACCGAACGGAAGGTGGAAAGAGTTTGTATCCGGCTGCCATCGCTCAATGAAAGCCGTGATCAGCGTACTGTCAATCTTATCGTGCATGATGGCAGGAACGTGATTCACCCCAGTGCCCTCCAGTCGCTCGAACATCTCGCTCTCCGCCGGCCAAGCCTCAGCCCATGTACGCAAAAAGCTACAAGTCTTTTCCCGGGTATGACATTTCAACAACCCCGTAACTGAAGGCCTCTCCTGGTCCTCCCAAATACGGGCAGCTATGTGTCCTAGAAACCTAGGAATCACACTCCCGTCAACAGGCCCACCGGGCAACTCACTCCTAACAACCCAAGAATCATTAACAGCCCTCGACCGTTTCCTACTTGCCCCAGATACAGTGGACGTAGATGATGTGCCAGATCTACTAACAAACCTACCACCCCTACCCTTACGCACCTCCACCATATGTGCCTCGTACATGTCATCAACCCTCTGACTGAATGGACCGTAATCATCATACGGTCCACTCCCATCGTCCACATCCTCATCCTCATATGCGCCCTCCTCCTGCTCCTCCTCCTGGTCACCCTCCTCAGCATCATCATCGTCATCGTCATCCTCATCCCGCCGGTGGATCCGTTCTCTACGAGCCGAGGCCGAAATACCACGGGATCTAACATGTCTATGCCCCGACCTCTCCACTGAATAGGTTCTACTAAGAAGCTCTACATTCTTCCCCGCACCATGACGACCCAGTGAATTCTACAAAAAATTTAACAAATTATTTCAACTAATTAGGACACAAAACAAAAATTTCAAATTATTTCAACTAATTAAACACAGAAAAATATTATACGGCATACACAAATACACACATAATACCCTAATATATTACAAAATGTATGATTTCCAAAAAAAATAAAAATTATTTCAAATAACTAACCATAAAAAATAAAAAACAAATATATTACACATACACAAATACACACATAATACCCTAATGTATTACACATTTTAAATAAAAAAAAACAATTACACATTAACACAAACAATTACCACATACTACATCAATTAAGGCATAAAAAATGTTTAAACATCAAACATAAAAAAAATAAAATATAAACACAAAAAAAAATCTGATTTTATAAAAATAAAGTATACACGATTTATTAAAAAAAACACATAAAGTTGATAAATATTTAAACAAAAATAAAACACATTAACAAAAAAAAAATTAGACATAAAACTAAATTATTTTAAATAAAACTAATTTTCTGATTTTGCAAAATAAAAAAAAAAACCAAAAAAAAAAATCAGAAAAAACAAAAACAAAAAAAAAAAGAAAAAAAAAAGGGGGGGGGTTGGGCGCCTGGCCAGGACGCCCACCCACTGGCGGTGGCGCCAGCTCCGGCAGCCATAGCCAGTGGGCAGGCGCCTGAGCTGGAAGCCCACCCATTGGCACAGGCGCCAGATCTGGACGCCACAGCCAAGCTCCTGGTTTGGACGCCTGTGCCGGTGGCTGGGCTTCCAAGCCAGACGCCACCCCACCGGCTTTGGTGGCCGGAGCTGACGCCCCACCACGCGCCACCGTCTTCTTTTTTTTTTTTTTTTTAAAAAAAAAAAATAATTAAATAATTACCTTACCACCAGGTCGCCGCCTTTCCTCCGCCGTCGCCGCCGCCACCTCTTTCCCTTGCCGCCGCGACATTGTCGTAATTAATTTTTTTAGGAGAGGTAGATTTTCTGATTTTTTTAGAGAGAAGTAGAGACTGTTTTTTTTTTGTAAAATGAAAAGGGCAATAGAGTCAAACCAAGTTATATTTGTGGGCTTTATATGGTAATTTGCGGACGATGTTTAACAAATCCCTTATGACTTTAAATTGAAAGATAAGCCACAAAATAATATATTTGGAACAACAAATCTCAAAGAGAATCATCAGAACAAAAGCTTCATTATGCTATAAAAATTAAGCGAACTATATGTAAGATTATGCAACATATTCAAGGAGAAAAGGCATAAACCAGAATCAGACTAAAATGAGAAAGCAGTTGGGTTTATTTAGTAAGAAAGATGAAGGTTTTTTGGGTCTCAAATCACATGAAATTCTTACTAATAAAATTTTAATATAGAAAAACACTTTGAGCAGCCACTTCAATATATAGTAAATATATAAAAATATATATATATATATATATATATATATAAAAAAAAAAAAAAAAAAAAAAAAAAAAAAAAAAAAAAAAAAAACATTAACTGCAAATAAATAAATATATAGTAAGCTTAGAAAACACAGCAGCAATATAAGATTGAAGAAACATGCGGTGCAATTATACTTGATTTACACAGTAGGTGTTGCACCACAAAAAAGAGAAAAAAAAAAATGTAAAACATAGAAATGTCAGGATAATGATAGGGATGCACCCCAACCACTTATCTGATTTCGTTCATCTTCAGTAAGTACAAACCGCGGTAGAAGAAGTTGATCAGCAAGCCAATTATTTTTATCTTCATCTGCATCAGGAATAACAGAGGCTGGTAGTGAAACTTGATCGATATAACCTGTAAAATCACAAGTACTGCCTTCGAGGTCACTCCTTTTTCTTTTCAGCTTCAACTGCTTCTGATTATGTTCTTGAAGTCGAACATGATACTGTATAAAATCAGATAGGAGACGTGCATCTTCAGAGTAGTCGCTTTGTAAGAGCGCCCACAACTCCGTGTTGTCAGACTTTGAGGGGAGTGAAAGTAAACTGGACGGTGAGTCATCACATATCAGGTGGTCAGACAACGGTACCTTTTTCACCTTGAAGCAACCTTCTACGCAAAACTCTTTCAGAGAAGTGCAGAGGAGTAGCCCTCTATGTATGCTGCTCAGATTCGTTAGCCTATACAATTTAAGCTTCCTTAATTTAGGGAGAGCAAGTATGGGTTCGGGTACTTCAAAAATTTGCTCTATCTCCGGACAATCCACCACTTCAAGCACTTGCAAAGAAGAACAGAGGTGTAGCCCTCTATGTATGCTGCTCAGATTCTCTAGCATACGCAATTCAAGCTCCCTTAAATTAGGGAGAGCAAGTATGGGTTCGGGTGCTTCAAAAATTTGCTCTATCTTCGGACAATCCGCCTCTTTAAGCACTTCCAAAGAAGAACAGAGGTGTAGCCCTCTATGTATGCTGCTCAGATTCGTTAGCCCATCCAATTTAAGCTCCCTTAAATTAGGGAGAGCAAGTATGGGTTCGGGTGCTTCAAAAATTTGCTCTATCTTCGGACAATCCATCACTTTAAGCACTTCCAAAGAAGAACAGAGGTGTAGCCCTCTATGTATGCTGCTCAGATTCTCTAGCTTACGCAATTCAAGCTCCGTTAAATTAGGGAGAGCAAGTATGGGTTCGGGTGTTTCAAAAATTTGCTCTATCTTCGGACAATCCGCCACTTTAAGCACTTCCAAAGAAGAACAGAGGTGTAGCCCTCTATGTATGCTGCTCAGATTCGTTAGCCCATCCAATTTAAGCTCCCTTAAATTAGGGAGAGCAAGTATGGGTTCGGGTGCTTCAAAAATTTGCTCTATCTTCGGACAATCCATCACTTTAAGCACTTCCAAAGAAGAACAGAGGTGTAGCCCTCTATGTATGCTGCTCAGATTCTCTAGCTTACGCAATTCAAGCTCCCTTAAATTAGGGAGAGCAAGTATGGGTTCGGGTGCTTCAAAAATTTGCTCTATCTTCGGACAATCCGCCACTTTAAGCACTTCCAAAGAAGAACAGAGGTGTAGCCCTCTATGTATGCTGCTCAGATTCGTTAGCCCATCCAATTTAAGCTCCCTTAAATTAGGGAGAGCAAGTATGGGTTCGGGTGCTTCAAAAATTTGCTCTATCTTCGGACAATCCATCACTTTAAGCACTTCCAAAGAAGAACAGAGGTGTAGCCCTCTATGTATGCTGCTCAGATTCTCTAGCTTACGCAATTCAAGCTCCCTTAAATTAGGGAGAGCAAGTATGGGTTCGGGTGCTTCAAAAATTTGCTCTATCTTCGGACAATCCGCCACTTTAAGCACTTCCAAAGAAGAACAGAGGTGTAGCCCTCTATGTATGCTGCTCAGATTCGTTAGCCCATCCAATTTAAGCTCCCTTAAATTAGGGAGAGCAAGTATGGGTTCGGGTGCTTCAAAAATTTGCTCTATCTTCGGACAATCCATCACTTTAAGCACTTCCAAAGAAGAACAGAGGTGTAGCCCTCTATGTATGCTGCTCAGATTCTCTAGCATACGCAATTCAAGCTCCCTTAAATTAGGGAGAGCAAGTATGGGTTCGGGTGCTTCAAAAATTTGCTCTATCTTCGGACAATCCGCCTCTTTAAGCACTTCCAAAGAAGAACAGAGGTGTAGCCCTCTATGTATGCTGCTCAGATTCGTTAGCCCATCCAATTTAAGCTCCCTTAAATTAGGGAGAGCAAGTATGGGTTCGGGTGCTTCAAAAATTTGCTCTATCTTCGGACAATCCATCACTTTAAGCACTTCCAAAGAAGAACAGAGGTGTAGCCCTCTAGGTATGCTGCTCAGATTCTCTAGCTTATACAATCCAAGCTCCCTTGAATTAGGGAGAGCAAGTATGGGTTCGGGTGCTTCAAAAATTTGCTCTATCTTCGGACAATCCTCCACTTCAAGCACTTGCAAAGAAGAACAGAGGTGTAGCCCTCTATGTATGCTGCTCAGATTCGTTAGCCCATCCAATTTAAGCTCCCTTAAATTAGGGAGAGCAAGTATGGGTTCGGGTGCTTCAAAAATTTGCTCTATCTTCGGACAATCCTCCACTTCAAGCATTTCCAAAGAAGAACAGAGGTGTAAGTCCTTGTAAAGTCTTTGTAACTTTGGTAGAGAACTTACCTTTACACTAACCAAGTTAGGAAGAGCAGAGTTATGATGATTATTTTTGTTTGATTCAAATATCTCCTCCAACTCTTTACACCATCCCAACCAAAGATGTTTTAGATTTGGAAGGGAAAGTTGCTTCTCCGATGACGATGATGATATGTATTTTAATCCGTGACAGTAATATATATGCATCTCCTTTAAGTTTGTTGCCAAACTCAAGGTGGGAAAAACATCTCCCAGGTTTCTTCTATGTACATTACTTATCTTCAGAATTTCAATTGTTGCCGGGAGCATATACCAGGTTTCGTCATGTTCTATTTCCCAGGTGTCGGCATCTTCTAAATCCCAGGCTGTGTCATATTCTATTACTTCCCCTTCCCCTACTACCAGCATTATATTCTCAGACTCCCAAAAATCGTAGGTGTCAAAAATTCCATCTACAATTGAAAATCGCCATTTTGGGTCACTAAGCAAAAATCTGTGGCAACTTAATGACGATGGTAAAGATTGAATAAGCTTATTGAAGCCAGAGCTGTCAGATACATTCCATGGCAAATAGTTTACCCTTTCCAAACACTTTAATTTTTCAATCCCGTCTGGAGCCTTTTCAAGCATCACAGCACGCCAAAGATCTAGCACCCTCAAATTTGAAAGCTTTGCCAGTGACGGCACATACTTTAGCTTTTCACATGATGCAAGTAAGAGCGCCCTTAAATTTGCCAAATCAGAAACACTCTCTGGTAACCTGTCGATATAAGTATCAGATAAATCAAGAACTGTGAGGGCTCGCATGTGCATAAAGAATGATTCTGCGATCCTCTTTAGAGGATTACCATTGAGCTTGAGCAATGTAAGTTCTGGTGTTGGAGGTGCCATACCATTCGGAATCACCTTGATAGCATTCCAGTTCAATGAAACTTTCACTAGTTCTTTGCACCACAGTTGTTCTTCTGGTACTCCATCTAGATACTGTCCTGGTTTTACCATGAAACAAGGATATTCTTTTGTGATCATAATACCCAGATCTCTCATCAAATCATGCATCTTAACACATTCAGAACCAAAAACATCAGTCCATGCTTCCAACAAGCATGAGTTTATCAGTTTATTCAAGTTTGCATGGCCCTTGTTCAGTTGGTTTGATCTGTTCCCTACATCATCCAGCAATCCCTCCATAATCCATTCATCTATTAGATGCTCCCTTGGTATCTTATAGTCTTCAGGATAAAGTATGCAACTCAAGAAGCAATTCTGCAGCCTTTGGTCATTCAGGTGATTGTAACTATACTTTAATACTGAAAACACGTATTCTTCCATCTCACTCTGCTGCTCACAAGAAGGTTGTCTCAGTTCATTTAGAGCATTTTTCCATACACGGACATCAAACACCTCAGTCATACTGCGAGCCATTGTAGCAATTGCAAGTGGCAAACCACCACACTTTTCGGCTATTGATCTTGCGATTCCTTTTGCTTCTTCTGTAAGTTTGTCATAGTGCCCAAGCTTGTCAACAAACAAGTTCCAAGCTTCCCCTTCCGAGAGAGGTTTTGTCTCGATGACAAAGCCTTTGCATCCCATTTCTTGACACACTTTACGTGAACGACTACTTAAAATGATCTTGCAACTGCTTCCTTCAATAGGAAAATCAATATCCTTTCCTAAGAATGGATTCCATTTCCACATGTCATCTAAGAAAAGTACAGTTGGGCCCATTGTGGATAATCGTTTGTGTAAAATAGCTGCGCGCTTCGTATCATCACCTTCTCCAGAGAGGTCCACACCAAGCTCTTTAGCAATTTCTTTTTGCAGTTTACGCTCATCGCAATTTTGCGAGACAGTTACCCAATACGGACGTCCAAAGTTGCTCTCATTTTTTAGCACCTCATTGTACAAGCACCTCAGCATAGTAGTTTTCCCTACACCTCCCATCCCATACACACCGATAATGCAGCGTTCATTATCTTTCAACCAATCAAGAATAGTTGCAGTATTTGTTGCAAACATTTCCCCTGCTGGGTTCTTCGACAAGAGCGGAAATTCTATTGGGCTATCATCAGGCAATACATATCCATGCGGAAAGTTACTCCGCTGCAACAGTTCATCAACTTGTGAAGTGTAGTTTTCTATGTTCTGATCATCTATTGCTTTGTTTTGAACCTCATCTCTAAACCGGTCTACAGCTGTTAACCAGTGTTGAACCTCCATTCTTCGCATCATTTTTGGCTGAATCTCATCGTGCTCAACTTCTTTACAAACATCATGGGCTCGAGAAAATAGTTTATCTGTATCGAATTTCAGAGCCCTCTTCTTGTGACAAGCAGAAGAATCATTAGACAACAGCCAATCCGAGCGACATATGGGCTGGGAGCTGGAAGCTGAAGAAGACCCTTGCTCGTGATCATAAATCACTAAAGTATCATGAGTTGCTTTCCTTTTCTTGTTTCCTGGCTGATCATCATCATGCTCAAGCTCTGTATCAAAGGACGGTTGTTGGCGGACCAAAGCTGGCACAAGTATAGTTTGATCATCATCATTAATCGTGCCTTCTTCGGGGGTATCATCCCCGGGTATATCACCAGATTCTCCAGCAGAGTTACTGAATATCCAACTTCCAACCAAGCCTGTGAATTTGCGGATTCCCATGAAATTGCTGGAGGTTTGGTTACACTGTTTCTCACTGCCTTCTTTGGCTTCTTCTTACAGTGCTAGAGTGAGAAAAAGAGACAAAGTCGGTAATTAAAGCACCTTCGAAAGAGGGCATTGAGTAATAAATTGGCATATAAACCTGTTAACTATGAAAGCTTCACCATTTAAGTCTACCATTTCATGCTAGGTAAATTAGAAACATACATCAGATCATGCACTTGATGGTTGAACAAAATTACTTCTCCCTTTGGATTATTTTTCTTCTAAATTTCCTTTTTCAGTATTAATTACGAAATACACTTTATATCACCTTCGAATGTCTTTTTTTCCTACTCATTTTCAAGATGCTTACTATGCTTCTCAATTTCAAGACTTTAATTACGAAAGACGGGGGAGGGGGCTGCCGAAAAAGGGAGGGGAAGATGAATGAGGGGGCTGCCGGAAAAGGGTGGAGTTGCCGGAAAGTTGCTGTCATGGGATGAAGGTGGAGGGGAAGAGGGCAGCCATGAATGAAGGTAGAGGGGAAGGGGAAGACAGCCATTAATTAGACACTCTCTCCTCCTAATCACATGAATAAAATACACTAATTGTAATTATCAAATTTTGTCTCGTGAACCGCAAACCCCCTAAAAGTTGCAGATAATAGAGACCAGAGGTTGTAGATAAATTAGAAATAGGAGTAGAAAGGTGAGGGTTGATTGTTGATAAGAGGAAAGTAAAAATAAGGTAAGGAAGAGCGAGGAAAATGTGGTTTTCCTTTCCTTGTTTTGTATAAAGGAAACTATTTTTCACTATTGGGAAAAATTGTTTTCCAATCCTTCACTAAATTTCCTTTTTTAGTGTTAATTACGAAGTACACTTTATATCACCTTTGAAAGTCTTTTTTTTTTTTTTTTCCTTTTCATTTTCAAGACGCTTACTATGCTTCTCAATTTCAAGACTTTTTTTTTTCCTTTTTCTAAAATGATTTGGACCAATATTGTGTAAATACAATAATTATAGTCATTACAAATCTAATTATTTTACTACAAACATACAACTGGAGGTGTCATTTGAGTTCAGGTTAGGGTACGGTTGGATTTCAATCAAGTGTTATTTCGTTGTTCAGACCCTGTAAAATCAAGAACAAGCCCCCTGTGTTTCCTCCTTATGAACAATGGGCTTAGCTTATGTCGTTATAATTGCAAGCAAACAGGAAAACATGTTTGAATTACAGGTTCCAGCTAATAGGTGATCGGATTTATAGTTTGCTTCCAAGCAAAGTGTTCAATACCAAAAACAAAAATTGAAGCTCCAAGAATTCAATCATATATAGTTAAGATCTCACACATTTTGATAGCTTAAAGGCGAAGGCCATTTTGAGCCTCGAATGTGTTGACTTTTGTGTAAAGGTTTCATATGCCTTAATAGCTTAGTCCTTAGTTTTTTTGATTTTTTTGTTCTTAAAACAATACATGACGATCATAATGTCATAATAAAAAATAAAAAATAAAAAGGCGCAGGCAACTTTAGCTGGCTATGTAGCCTTGAATTTCTCACTAAGCTAGTATCAGTCAAGGGTCTCAATTTATTGCCTTTTAAAGGTAGATCAGCAGGTACATTAAGTCATAGACTAGATTAAGGAAAAAGAACAAGAAAAATTATCATCTCCTCACCTCGATTTGAAATTGCTGGTTGCAGTGTAATCCTTTACCCCTTAGCCAGAACCTAGGCTACAAGAATCAAATGATTTCCTTGGCCTTTAAATATTGCAAGAGCAGTGAGCTGAAGTAGAATAACAGAAGCAATTGGAATTCAAGATTTTGTATGAATCCAAAACACAAAATAAATAATGACTAAGAACAGCAAAAACTGTTTGTAAAAAAAATAAATAAAAAATAAAAAAGGACAGCAAAGATGGAGTAAATTTAAACACCATAAGGCATAATCACAAATCAATGGTTTGGTACAACCGTAGTCTAAATTGTTGGAGGTAAAGGTGCAAAGCAACTAATTAAAGGAAATAATTTATGAAAAAATTCCAAAGAAAGAAATATACATAGGGAAATGATTCCACAATTTATCACTTTATCTTCGAGTGAACTATGAACACTTTTCTTTTTCTTTTTTTTCCCGAAAGAAGTGAACTATGAACACTTATATTTTCACAAATTCTGTTTTTATTTTAAGAATGAAAAAAAAGAACAATAAGGCCAATAAAAAATAATTGGAGTAATATGTTTTAGAAAGAGAGATCGTAGCATAATATATCAGCATTTGGGAGCTGGGAAAACCTTAGGAAAACTGTAATGAAATAATTTGTTGGACCTTTGATAGACTAAAGAATATTGAATAAAGAATTAGAATAAGAATAATGTAATTTCTCAAGAGATGAAGCTACGACATGAGGCAACTATAAGATGAATATGGCAACTGAAAGAGGAAACAAAAAAAGGATTAACATGTAAATTATGTACCTCTAGCAGCCTTAATCTTTGTCTCAATTTCAAGCAAATCCGAGTAAACTACTGTAGACAGGCTAATATCAGATTGAAGCCATGCCACAGCCCACAGGAGGTTCTAGAAAATACAGTAGAAAACGGAACTGGTTCAATAACCTAGCAGAAGAATAAACCAGAATATATATGAGAATACAAGAACTAAATATTTTCAGTAAAAAAAAAATCTCAGCCATTTTATGTATATTATTCAGACCTTATAATGATGAACTTATACTTCAAAACCCTGCCAAATAAGACTTCAGAAGGGTAAAATAATCTCTCTTGCCTATCTTCTGAATGTACTAGTCCTTCTTGTTTTCTTTAAATATATCAGTATAATAGAGTCCTGAAATAGGAAAATTGACCAATAATCAGGCCATGTTTAACTAGAAATACCTCCATGGAATGAAATTAAATAGAAAAAAAATATGATATTTCTCCATGTTTAACTCATAAACTAGTAGATCATTGTTACTGTCAGAGAAAGATTCAAGTAATAAAGTAGGATAAAAAGAACATTCATAGCAAAATAATTTCATTGCCATAGCCTCATAATCCACAATAAAATTTGTGAAGAACTACCTTTTATAACACATTTTTTTTGCTTTTTTTTTTTTACAAATGATTACTTATAAGTTTTTGTTTTACAAAATAACTAACTTAAAATCTTAAATAAAGATGTTGTGCTATCAGCATCACCTTGAAACGGAAACCATCAAACTTAGGATACTAAATATTTTATTAATTTATGGCATAATTTATCAGCCTTTGGAAGGGGAAAATCCTTGGGAAAACTGTACATAATGAAATAATTTAATGGACGTTTCTTAGACAAGAGGATATCGAACGAAGATTTAGAAAACGATTATGAGATTTCTTAAGAAATAAAGCACAACTGAAACAGGAAACAAAGGGAGTAACTATTAAGTGATGTACCTCATAGTTGCCCGACTTTTTTCTCAATTTCTATTAAATTGTAGTAAACTCCGGTAGATTTGTAGAAGACGGGCTGATTTCAGATTGAAGCTGCGCCTCAGGAACAGCTTCCACAAAATACAGTAGAAAACAGAACTGGATGAATAAAAAAACACAGATTATATATGAGATACAGCAAGTACATATAGATAACCAACTGAATTCCAGCCATTTTGAGTATGAAAAGGAAGAAAGTGGAACTGTAAAAACATAAAATTGATCTTTTACTAGAAAAAGTAGGAAGATTGTAATTAAGTGAAAGGTATTGCTTTACTATTTAGACCTTAAAGTGATGAACTGAAAGTTTAAAACCCTGGCAAATCAAACTTCAATAAGGTGAAACAATCTCTACTGCCTTATATTTCTGAATGAGCCCTGAAAAAGGGATAAGTGACCAATAATCAGGTCCATGGAAATTCAGAATGTATGTAATATGACTGAAAATTGGTTACTGTTAAAAAAAAAAAAAAAAAAAAAAAGAAAGTACATGGTATGAAATTAAAATAAAGGTACTAAATGCAGGATTTTTTTTCCAAACTAAGCTTTTTTAACAAAATATTTTGCAAAGTGAATTCGTGGCCAAATTATTTACCAAACTAAGCTTCTGGGGACAGCGTTTTATACCATGGTTTTTTTTAAAAAAAAAAATTAAAGTATAAAACGCTGTCTCGGACAGCGTTTTTACTTGTTGACTTTTTTTTTTTATTTTGTAAATTTCTAATTCAAAAAAAATAAAAAAAATAAAATAAAATCAAATGTAGTAAAACGCTGACTGAGGCAGCGTTTTATGTGTTTAATGAAAAGCTGGCTCAGTCAGCGTTTCTTTCGCTGCTGTAAAACAGACGCAGCTTCCTCTGTTACTTGAACTCCCCCATTTCATTCTTCTCAGGTCTCACCCAATCTCTCCCTCACTCAATCTCTCTCTCACGCAACCCAAATCCCCCTCCCACCGGCGTCTCCCATCGACCACCGCCCGCCGACGACCGGCCGCCAACTGCTCCAACGCCCCTCTCTTCACTTCCTTGTCGAATTAGGTACTTGCCCCCTTTCTCTTAGGTTTTTAAAATCTAGGTTTTTTAAAATTGTTGATTTATTTTTGTGAATGTTAGTGTTGATAATGTTGAATTGTTAGTGTTGATAATTGTTGGTAATGTTGAATTGTTAGTGTAGATAATTGTTGAAAATGTTAAATTGTTAGTTTAGATAATTGTTGATAATATTGATAATTGTTGATAATGGTTGATAATTTTTAGTTTTTGAGTAATTGTGATAACCTACATTGTTGTTTAATAATGGTGATTTAGGGCTTCTAACTTGTTGTAATTTGAAAAGTATGTACATTGTTGTTTAAATATGGCGATTTAGGGATGAGTTAGTGCCTTTAAGTATAATGTGTTTTGGTTGTTATGTAGAATATGGCTGCACAAAATGTTGTGTTGTTACGATGGTGGGGAGGTGAAATTCTGTTTGATGGACCCCGTGTCGAGTATAGTGGAGGAAATATGGAACCACTAACACTTGAACCGAACATGACTTTCAATGATTTGATGAACGAGGTTCATAGTAGTATTAGTTCAAACCCAAGGAATGTTGAACTAAACATTAAAATGAGGTTTAAGACTGGCAATGGGGTTCAAGTGTTACTTGTTTCTACGAATAAACATCTAAAAGCTTTGAGGAGCGTTGTTGCAACGAAGGATGTTCCCACTGAGATATATGTAGAAATGGTGCCTATATGTACCCAACAAAGTACTCAGCCAGAACAGCAATCTACATATATTTCCAGTTACAACACAGAGTCTTTCCAAGTGCCCTCACACGACATCCCATCGAATGAATATGGGATGGGATCTTTCAGTAGAATGCTGCACGACGATCAATTTAACATGCCGTTTAGTTCTCATATAGCTTTACCTGTACATGGGGGGACATATGTGACAATGTTTGGCCAACCTGGTCCTTCAACATCAAACACTGTCACGCCTTCACCGATGCAATTGCATACTTATTCGCCTATGCAAGATAATGTTCAAGCATCATCGTCTCAACCTGTGCCAAATCATCTTGAAACTATTGTGAATAACGAATTGTCTGTATATAATGTGTATGCGGAAACAAAGGATGAGGCCGAGAACGGAGAGGAGGAAGATGGACTGCAGAACATGGATGTTGAACCTGCACATATGGAAGTTGGCGAGCCCATGGTTAGAATTCCCATACCTTGGTTTAGTCAAATAAACGAGAACTATGAAGTTGATCAGTATTGGACCGAATCGGGTAGCCATACATCGTTTGTTCCCGGGGAGAATTTGAGAAGGGCATGTATTTTGAAAGTAAGAAAATGATTCAAGAAATTGTGAAGATGTATTCTATACAGAGGACTCAATTCTACACCACAGTGATCTCGAATGACAGTGTCCTTCATCTGCTGTGCAAGAAGAAATGTGGTTGGTCCCTACGCGGTACCAAATCAAGTGAGCACTCGCGTGGCTTTACCCTACTCACGTACAAAGGCCTGTATCGGGAGAATTGTGTCACTGAAGTACTATCTATTGATCACCCATACTTGGATTCGTCCATAATATTAGAGTATGTGAAGTCTTTTATGCAGAAAGATCCGTCCTTGAAAGTTGAATTCATACAGGAACTCATCTCTAAGCAATTTCATTTTCAAGTTCCGTATCGAAGAGCATGGTATGCCATACCTGAAATATTTGGGGATTGAGAGAGTTCTTACGGCAAACTTCCGCACTTCATGCAAGCACTCCAACAGTCAAACTCGGGAACCGTTGTTGTATGGAAACACAAAGCTCTGGTGGATGGTATTTACTCCAGCAACATGGAAGTGTTTGAACTAGTGTTTTGGGCCTTCGGTCCTTGTATTGATGGTTTTAAACATTGTATGTCTGTTATCTGTATCGATGGGACGCACTTGTACGGGAAGTATAAAGGAACACTGTTGGTTGCTACAAGTGTGGATGCAAGCTTCCAAGTATTTCCGCTAGCATTTGCGTTGGTAGAAGGGGAAAACACTTCCAGCTGGTCTTGGTTTTTGGGCTGCATTCGGGTTCATTTCACGCAACGAGATGGCCTCTGTGTTATATCTGATCGACATCCTGGGATCATTGCAGCAATGAATGATCCTAACATTGGATTCACCGAGCCGCGAGCCTATCACAGGTTTTGTGTTCGCTACATAGCTTCTAACTTGAAGACTCACGTGCGAAGCAACGATATGAGAGATATGTTCAAGGCTGTTGCGTACCAAAGGCAAGAAAGAAAACTTCAAGCTAATATGTGTTTCATCGGTGAGGCATGTACCAAGGCCATGGAGTATATTGTTCAAGTCCCGTTTCCTATGTGATCTCTGTTTCACGACGCTGGTCGCAGATTTGGGATATGTACTACAAACTTCTCTGAAACATTTAACAATATGTTGAAGGGAGCTCGGTTTCTACCGATCATGTCCCTAGTCGAGTTAACTTTCCACATAGTTAACAGGTATTTCACTTTAAGAAGGGAGTCTTCTGAGGCTAGGTCTGAACAAGGACTTGCATACCCCCCCAAGGTCACTGTCATTCCGGAGAACAACACCGCAAAAGTCAGATATCATAGAGTGGATGCGTATAACCGCCGATTACATATTTACCAAGTTACAACAGAAAGGGGAGAGCGACTTGGTAGAAAAGGAGGTCATAAACATACTGTTAGCTTTGAGTTGAGAACTTGTACATGCAACAAACCATGGATATTCCATCTCCCATGTTCTCATGTTCTAGTTGTCTGTGCGGCGTATTCACTATCAGAGCGACCGTGGGTGGACCCTATGCTGCAATCGGAGGCTTATACGAACACCTATGCACCACAGTTCTTGCCTATCCCCTGTGAGACGACTTGGACGCAGTACATCGGCCCTAAACTCATATCGGACGACAGCATGGTACGAGGAAAAGGTCGGCCAAAGTCAAAGCGCATACGCAATGAAGTGGATGAGACTAACCGGCCCCCGAGTAAATGCAGCCGCTGTCACCAGCAGGGTCACAACCGGACAACGTGTCCATCTAGACCGACTGGGACCTAAGTTTGTATCTGTAATTTGATGTAGTAGAATAGCAGATTTATTTTGTATCGTATTTTGTAACGTTTGTAACATTTGTAACACTTTGATCATTTCTATTTTGAATGTTGTCATTTGAAATTTTTCGTCGATGCCTTTAACTCGTCCAGCTCATGTTTAATTGATGATCTAGTAATTGTGTTGATAATTGGTGTATAACGTTGCTAATGAACAGATTTCATGGATGGACAAGATAGGACACCCAAACCTGTTAACTCTTCTGTCCTGACACTACAGGACAAACATCGGAGCGTTGACATATGGGACCAGTCGATAATATTTCATCCATCAGTCATATACTTATGCATGTTAAATTGATATACTATCTGATATTAATTGCGTTCGTACGAGTTTTTATCAGGTTGATCCAGTGAGGCTGCTGGTTTGCAGGCACTACACTACCAGGATTATGGTGGACTGGGTTGTCGATCAACGCGTTATTGCGTACGTCGAGTTGGGGGTATTCATCGGATGGCTGGCTTGGGTGGTATTCATCGGATGGCGTTCAGGGAGATCGATCGAGCGCTTGTCACTGAGCTCTCGGAGAGGTAGAGACAGGAGACGCACTCCTTCCACCTACCTGTTGGGGAGGCGACCGTTACGTTGCGGGACGTCGCGATACTCACGCGCCTTCCTATACATGGGACTGCAGTGACAGAACATGCGTTTGTCGATCCCGTTGGTTTGGTAGCTCGGGTTCTTGGGTTTCAGCCAGGTCCCGACGAGATCAGGGGGTTCGGGTTGAAGATTGGCTAGATACGCGAGACTTTTCGTGTGCTGCCTGTGAACGCTGATGACGCCACGGTTCAGAGACACGCTCGGGCATACTTGTTCCTGCTCATCTCGGGTGTGTTTTTCAGCAAAAAGAGTTGGAGCCATCTGCAGCTTATTTACCTACAGCTGTTAGACCACGACTGGGATCATATCCATGGCTACAGCTGGGGTAGTGCTTGTTTAGCGACGTTGTATCGCCACCTATGTAGAGAATCCCACAGTGATTCTGGCGAGATCAGAGGTCCCTTGATTGTGCTTCAGGTAACTCACCTAATTATCAACAATCTATTTTGTCTATTACTTACCTAGTTTATACTTAACCTAGTTTTGTATTTTTGTGTTACAGTTATGGGCTTGGGAGCATATCCATGTAGGCAGACGAGGTAGGCCTGCTGTACATCGGCAGGGGCAGCAGGATCGGGACGAGCAGTACCAGGCGTACGATGCTCCACCGCTCCCTACACCTGGCGAGGCATACGGTTGCAGGTTTGTTACAGTTGTCATTACTTTAGACTTAATACGGTTTTATTATGCTAGTTGACAAACTAAAACATGTTTTTGGTATTAGGTGGGCGGTCCCCAGACTGACACATGCGCATGCAGCGAGGAGTCTTCCGTACTACCGAGACGCCCTTGACCGACTCACCGAGGATCAGGTGGTAACTTAATGGGAATTTGTAAACATTTAATAAATATGATTCTTGTCAGTGCACTAACCTACTTACGGTATTACTTTTGATGTGTTTTTGCAAGTGAAATGGGATCCGTATGTAGCTGACTTGGTTGATGCCATGCCTGCTCATCTGCTGGATCATCAGGCAGAGTGGCGTGCCAGGACCCCCATGATATGTTTCGAGGTTGTGGACAATCACCTACCCGACCGAGTCATGCGACAGTTTGGACTACGCCAGCCTGTCACCCAGCAGTGTGACACTAGTATCCGCCTGCACGGCGTTGACCGTCGGGAAAAGGGGGAGACAAACTGGTCAGTGGAGCATAGGGTTTACATTGACCTATGGCAGCGATGGCTGGAGTTCGTCGTTGGAAATGATCCGATGCAGGGCGTTATGGATCCTCACGATCCGTACATGGTATGATACAGGCGTGTTACACGGCGTTTCATCAACCCTAGCTACACACCACCATCCACACATTACCATCTAGCATATGACGTTATTAGCGGATATGTGAGTTTCTTTTATTCTACTTATTTTCATCAATTTGTAAATTTCTATATCATACAACTGACTGATCGATGATTACTTCAGGCGGTAAATATAGTGGCGATGGTTGATGCACTATCAGTCGCCCTTGCAGACGGACCCACCAGAGCCCAGGTCGAGCGGGTGCGAGATATGGGCGTTGCTACCTTACAGAGATATGGTCACGGCTATCTCGTCCACGAGCGGGACGATTATGATGGCCACTCCGTCCATTCACAGTTCGAGTAGCGGTGGAGGTGATCCTATGTCACCCAGAGATGCAGAGGATTACATCATCCACAGTTCTGCGCCCACCCCTACCTAGGAGGACCCATCGTCCAGCCAGCAGACTCCCCCACCGCCCAAAGACCCATTCACTACCATTACTCATTACAGGAGGCGTTGTGTCAGACGGAGGACGACAGACGGGATAGAGAATCGTTACCCCGAATAAATGAGTCGGGATAATATTATCTGATTTATTTGCTGTAGCCGGATATTCTAGAATGATGTATATAACACTTACATCATTAATGTAATAAATGTTTTTTTGAATAAATCTGTATGTGGTTTGAAGTTTATTTTCCTTATCAGTCCAAATCGGACTTATGTCGGTCAAAATAGTTCCTTCTAGGCCGATATATATCAAACACAAGACATTTGGGCTCCATAATGAGAAACGGGTAGAAGCGATGGCCCGTGGTGGTTAATGTGGTGGCTCATGGTGGTTGTAGTGTTGTTAGGGGTGTTCGGAGTGTTCTGAAGTGCTTAAGGGTGGGTGAAAGTCCCAGGAGATGGTGGTTGGCGATGGTCGATGGTGGTGGTAATGTTGGGGTTGGTGGTGGGGGTGGTTGTAGTGTTGTTGAGGATGGTTGGAGTGTTTTGAAGTGCATAAGGGTGGTTGAAAGTGACGACGGGAGGTATTGGTTGGTGGTGGTCGACGGTGGTAGGACGGTAGGGGTTGGTGGTGGGGTTGGTGTTTGAGGGTGGTGGTTAATTGAAGGCTGGGGGTGATGTGTTGAGGGCAGAATTTGGAGTGGGGAGGCTGCTGCTGGTACTGTAGTCCAGCATAAAAACGTTGTTGGAGCGTTTTATGTACAAAAAAAAATTGTACATAAAACGCTGTCTGGGACAGCGTTTTTATGTATAAAAAAAATTGTACATAAAATGCTGTCTCGAATAGCGTCTTATGTGTATTTGAATTTTTATTTTATTTTTTTGTTTTTAAAACCAGAAATTAAGAAAATCACAAAAAAAAAAAAAAAAAGACAATAAGTAAAAACGCTTTACGAGACAGTGTTTTGTACTTTAAATTTTTTTTAAAAAAAACCAGGGTGTAAAACGCTGTTCGAGACCTCAGAAGCTTAGTTTGGTAAATAGTTTTACCACGCATCCACTTTGCAAAATATTTTGCCAACAAGGCTTAATTTGGAAAAAAATCCCTAAATGCAGGTATGATTTTACCTAAATATAGGACAACTTAATTTTAGTCAAATTTTATTTTTCCAGGCTTACCCTTGTTTTAACCTACACCCATTAACTATTTAATTACCTTTAACATTTAAAATGTAAACATATCTCATAGACCCATAGTCTTCGGTCTTCACCCATTTTTCATTTTCAAAGTACAAATAATTTGCCTATTTCACAAATTTTCAGAACCAAAGCCATGTTATCACAAAACCATTTTGATACTCATATTCAACCTGTTTGTAAAATATTTCCAGAAGCCTTCATCTTAATACTAGCTATGATTTCCGAGCCCCTTCACCGCCTATCGGAATAAGAATCCGGGGCCCTTTACTATCTACCGGAGTTAATTTCTGGGGCCCTCTACCACCTCCCGGAGTTAATTTTCGGGGGCCTTCTACCACCTCCCGGAGTTAATTTCCGGGGCCCTCTACCACCTTCGGGAGTTATTTTCCGAGGCTTTACTTTCTATAACTTGCAGAGTTTAAGTGGCATGACGCATGAACATCCCATGCCTGATAAGTTTGGGGACTAATTATTCGTCTTCTCGTTCTTCTGCCATTAAAAAGTTATATTTTGCATCTTCTATTTATCAAATTACCAAAAATGAAACTTTGAGAATGGAGATTAGAGAATAGGAGGGAGCGGACTTCTTAGTTAATAAAGGGTCGTTTGGTTGGAGCTTTTGGAGTGAAGTTAGAGTCTATTCCATCCGTTTTATTGTTTGGTTAGACAAATTTAGGTATGAAATCTTTAATTTAGGCTTATAAAAAAAAGGGTAAGATAGTCTTTAGAATATTTAAGTGCTATTTTTTAAATTCTGCATTTAGTACTTGTGATAAAATATTCATAATCCATAATTCTTTACGTTTGACACAATAAACTAGTAAATCATTGTTTCGAAATGAAGAACATTAGCAACAAAATAATCTCAATACTATAGCCTCAGAAAGCACACTACAACTTTGTTTTGAAATAACATATTCTGATCTGAATTTTGCTAATCTAATGTGATTGTCTAATTTGACTGAATTCTAACCTTTTTCTTTTTTTTTTTACAACCAAAACTCTGACTTGTTACACATTAATGTATAAGAAAAAACATTACCAAATGGAAACATATTATATTAGTCTTACGGAGTAATGTGCAAATATGAATAGAAAGATCTGGTATTGTATGAATTTTTCTGGTGTGGTCCGACTTTTTTAAGTGTGGACATGTGGTCTAATTTGAACTAGGATAATTAATACTCTGTAAGGATAAGGGCAAGAGAACACGGCCTAAAATAAAACAGCAATAAACACATTAACAAAAGTGCATAAACTCATCAATTCTTTTAAATTACGACCGTAATCCATTAATTTTGAGTATGGAGTATTAATTCTAACAATTACAAGTTAAGATCTCAAAAAAATTAAACAAAAAAAAACTTGAACAATATGTTTGTTAGAAACGAAAAGGCTAACGGCTTCATAAAGCTAAAAATTAAGCAAATTTTGAATGAGATTATGTAACACATTCAAGACTGAGGAAATCAGATTAATTAAAATGAGAAAGCAGAAGAATATTCGTATATACCTGTACTGTGATGTCGTTTTTTCCACCGGTGTTTATCAGAATTCAGAAACTCTAGTGGTGAAATTGTGTATGAAATATGAAACTAAAATACAAGTGAATGTTTAGTTTTAAGTGAATGTTCTATCAATACAATTCATATAATATATACGAATCCAAGTCTTCAATTGACTAAAGTCACTGACTAGTAAATAGTCAAAAAGTTGATTAGTGATTTTCCTTGAAATTACTAGGAAACTTCTTTTTTTGGGTCCAATAATGGAGGGTCATGCACTTAGAGTGTGCAGGTGTCAAAAACACCGGATTCATACTCCGTTGATTAGTGATTTTCCTTGAAATTACTAGGAAACTTCTTTTTTGGGTCCAATAATGGAGGGTCATGCACAGTGTCCACGTGTCAAAAACATCGGATTCATACTCCGTATTTCAATTTGTATAGATACAATAATTCAGTAACTTAACTTTGAAATCGACCCCACCAAACCTGGCCAGCCGATTTGAGTACCCGAATTGACATTTCTACGTAAGAGTAAAGGGGAGGTAGTCTCTACCCTCAAGCATCCTCACTTGGTAGGATTTAAACCCCAAACCTCTAAGATGTTAGTTAATAAACTTACCAAGTGAGTCAACACTTTGTCAATACTAGAACACTTAAAAGAAACTTCTTACTAATGGCTTAGATTATGCGTCAAATTTACTACTCTTCCTGTTTCATAATCATTGTAGCAATTTAACTAGCATATGTGTTAATGTATAACTTAATTTGACCATTAAAATTTACAATTATTTCTTATATACAAAAATCACTAGTGTGTGATCCGAGGCGTTGTCTCGAAATGTTAATTTGAGTAATTATTTTTAAAGTGTGAATTTTCTGTATAAATCGTTTGGAATGTAATGTTGAATAGCGGAGAGATTACAGAGAGTTTTATGAGTCTCTTTTATGTTTGTTTAATGATTTTAAGAGTTCAAACTCATACCTCAAAAGCTCAAATTCCCAAGGTATGGGGTTTAGAAATTTAGGGGGAAGGTGGGTGACTCATTATCATGTTTTCAGGTATCAAATAAAAGAAAAAGAAAATTCATTTCATACTCTTACCAAACATATGGTATTAAGAATCAAATTCTGGACTCATACCACTATGGTTCCATTCTTGATTTTAACACCCCCTTATTGAGTTAGTGTTAACGTAGCCAATATTTTCCGATCCAAAAAAGAAAGTGGCTACATTAAGTCGTTAACACTAACTCCATAAGAAGGTGTTAACAGAGCCACTTTATAGTAAGTAATTTGAACTTTGATGAATAAAAATTCTCCTCTCGCTAGGACACAAAACAGACAGTTATTAGCAAATAGACCCCTTTTTAGACAAAAATTTCCCTATTACTTATTTAGATAAATTAGGTCTTAGTCTTGAGAGAAGGTAAGCTAATTATAATCGTATATCTTTCTTTCTAAGAAAAATAATAATTTTGTACATTATTATTCAAAACAAGATAATTAACTTTTATTGACGGAAGATAATTAGCTTGTTCAAATAGGAAGGAGTAATACAATTTACATTCCTAGCTAGGGTGTCATCAATTTGTTCATAAAACACAAGTACAATCATGCTCCTTCTGTCTTATATATTGTCGGACATAATCAATTATGTTAAAGCTTATTGGTCAAAATAAGAAAAGTATAATGAGACGGATACATTTCAATCACTACAACACGTTTATAAGAACTAATTGCTATGATCATGTAACTTATTTATGTGGTTGTAGTTGCTTTATTCCTCTACAGACTGGTTGGTCAAAAAGTGTGTCCTAATGACACTTTTTAAGCATATGGCACGAAATTTGTCAGGAAATAGGTGCGTTCCTTCTCACTATTGAAGATAAACTATGCTTTACACTGTCCTTCATCAGCTATGTTTTACAGTTGAATATGGTAAATTTATTGAATCGAATGTATTTTAGTAGCTCAACAAATATGAGTTAATTATCAAATCTAATGATCACCCAATGCATACTTGAGCTAGTAGCCTAGTACTAGTTGAGCCTTAAGTCAAGTCAGCTGTTTGTTGTCTGAAAGTAGGCCACAGAATTGAATAACTTGTATGACTTTAAATTTGCTTATAATAATTGTAAGTAGAATATTATGAGAATAAGCCACAGAATTGAATAACTTACTATTTTGCCAACAATAATATCACAGAGAGATTTCATCAGAACGATATAATGGTGAATCGAAATGATGTATTACAACATTCATTCATAACAACATATTTAATAATTAATGTGCTAATTGACAAGAGTAACAGGGAAAATTTACCAAACTAAGCTTAATTAACAAACTATTTTTTAAATAAGACTTGTTTTACCCCTGATTTTTCTTTTTATTTTAAAAAAAAATCAATGTGTAAAATGCTGCCTCAATCAGCATTTTACATGTTGACTTTAGGTTTTTTTTTTTTAATTTCGTAATTTTTTATTTTAAAATAAAAAAAATATTACACTTAAACACTAAAAATATTACACTGGTAAATTCTTAATTTCTGATTTTTTTAAAAAAATAAAATAAAAAATAAACACATAAAAGTATCAGCAACAAAGAGTCCATAACTTCTTTACTACCATTTGGTATATATTCAGATTCAAAGTCGTCACAAAGTACTACCAAGTATTAAATCAACCAAACAAAAACTAAGTACTACTCCGGTACATATTAAGTTTAACCTACAAAAGTATTCTCCCTTTAATCCTTTTCACACCCTTGCCCCACGTTTCTTTTCAACCATTTTCCTTCTCATGCAAGCCTATAATATTTCCCATATATAATACTTCTTAATTAATAACATATTAATTATGTTTTAAAAAGTTTCCACACTTTTCTAAATTAATACGGAGTAGTTTGATAGTGTTTTATTTTTTATATTTTTTTTTTTTATTTTTATTATAGGCCTGATAAAATTGACTCATATTCTTTACCTTCTTTTAAATTATTACTTACTTTGTATTTATATAAGGTGAATAAAACAAAGTCTTATTAATTAATTCTATATATACTCGAAACAAAATATTTTATAGGTTCTTTTAATATTGCATCAATTGCTTTTACGAAAATTTTACAAATATTACACCATTTTCATTTTAAGATAAAAAATATTTATGTTTACACTACAAATACCTAACATACCCTTACTTTTTCACATTTACTTTTTATTTTTTCGTTACATTACATGAACAATTTTATATGGTGTAATAATAATAAAAAATGGAGAAAGTATAACTTTATTAGGTAGTAAAAAATTGCAAGGGTAAAATAGTCAATTCATTCAACCTCCCAAGTGGCCCCACCCAATCGATACCACCTCTATAATATTTTAATTTACAAAAATAATCCTTCTTAGTTTAGTAAACCGGCAATTGGAAATTGTTAAACGACGCCCTTATTTAACCAGGTAACGCCCGCATTTAAACATAAATGGACAAATATACCCTCAGTGTACTCTATATTTTTCTTCCCTGGCCTCTAACTCAATCGTACATTCTCTCCTCCTAACAAACCACCTCCAACCGAGAGCAAGGTCATCGGACACATCGCCGGAATTTTTTTTTTTTTTTTTTTTTTTTTTTTGTGGAGGCCAAACGCCTAAATTTTTCAAAACACTAGGGGAGAAACGGCCTAGAATTTTCAAAAGTCTCTAGGAGATTCGGAGAGGAAGACCTAATATGCAAACTCAAGCTTGGCCTAATATGCAAGTGTTTAAGGAAGCAACCTAATATTGATAGAATTGACAGGTTTGGAGCAATGGAACGCTAAAGAAAGTGAGAGGAAGACCGGCTCCGGTTTTGGATGATGCAAACTCAAGCTTGGCCTGCATATCAATGACAGTGCTACTCACCCTTCTTCTTGAGAGCACTGTCTCACCCTTTTTGAACATCTTTAACAAGTCCATGGACCACAACAACCGCGAAAAGGAAACATTAGAACCAGAAGATCAAGATAATAAGGAAGGGGACAACAATGATAATGATCTTCTAAGCATTGAGCCTAGTATTAGTACCAACCATGGTAATATTAATGATGGTAAAGAGGATCGGAGGGTATTTAACTCATTTTCTTTCGAGGATTATGCTTGGAGAGTTTACCATGAACGACTTCACTTTAAAGACCCTCTTGATAGATATCGCGTTATTGATTGATTCGGCCTACATTGTTCTTGGATCTACCTTGCATTTGCATGTTTTTTTTTTCTTTTTTTCTTTTTTTTTACTATACTATTCGGATTTATTTTTTGTTCTTTTGATGGAAATAGGTACTACAGGAAGGCTTGATCTGTTTTTCTTTGGGAAAATTGGTTGTTTGATGATTTCATATGGTACTACTTGTACCAATATGAGATGAATTTGAAGTATAAGCATATAAGTGGTTTATTCTATTTTTGCACCACAGTTGTTCTTCTGGTACTCCATCTAGATACTGTCCTGGTTTTACCATGAAACAAGGATATTCTTTTGTGATCGTAATAGCCAGATCTCTCATCAAATCATGCATCTTAACACATTCAGAATCACGAACATCAGTGCAGTCTTCCAACAAGCATGAGTTTATCAGTTTATTCAAGATTGTACTGTAGGATTATAATAGATGCACTTAGCGGAATTTCAAGAAACAATTTCTTAGCATCTTAAACAGGATCTCATGCATATAATAATACGAATCACATAAAGTAGTTAGATATACCTTTGATGCGTGTACTCCTCGTTAAACCTAGATTACCCTCCTTCGGAGATCCAGAACCTCAATTGTGATTCCTCTACTTGGTCCACAAAACCCGAGATGAATCCCACGTATGCTAGTACGGAAGGAGGAAGATATTTTTCACTCTTCTCACTTTTAGGGAAGCAGTTCTATAAGAAATATTTTAGGTTGTTTTTCACTCTGTATATCTGTGTAACTCATACACAGTAATAACCCCAATATATAGAGATTATTAGGTTACTAGAGCAGAAAACCTAACTGATTAATGACTCCTCATAAAACCGCCCACTTAACCTTTATTGGGCTTAGTGTACTTTTCATCTCGTGCTTTTATGTGTGACCTTATAGGATCCGATTTAAATTAGCAGCA